CACACAGGCAACCTCTCGTCAATATGCGTTTTTCGCATTGCATTGCTGCAAAAAACGCATAAAAACTTATTTTCGAGGTCGATAAAGATGTTCTGCTAAAATGCAAGCTCACTTCATATTATCCGCCCAGCAACCAATTACGCCAGGTAAGAACAGCTCGAGATTGAGCCACAGGTCAAAGAAATCATCGGATTTCTTGGCGCACCAATAGTGCACCACTTCTGGCTTCCCAGTAAGTTTTGCTTGCAGCTGTGCTCCGCCATCACCCGGTACTGCAATTCGCAATTCTTGGCTAGTTATTTGTTTTGAACAAATTGCAAATTTGACATACTGATAACACTCTGCTTCCAGTATTTTTAGTTAAAATGGTTCTTCTGATACCCCTCCTTCCTCCTCGCTCTCCCCCTCACCTTCCCTCCTCCCCCACACGCCCCTGCATGTTGTCGCTAAAGCGATACATTACAAAGGAGGCCGAACGGACCAAATTGCTATTTGCTCCTTATGGTTGCTGTTGCAAATGTTGTTACAAATCCTCTAAGAACTGAGGGTGAGATTTGTTATGAGTACGCAACCGTGTAATTTTGGGAATAAATATCACTGTTTTTTGGTTTTTAAATCAGATTCTGTTGTGAATCATTGGCGGCGCATACAAGGCAGACCCGTGCGATCATGCGTTTTTGCATTATTTCGTGTTGTAATAAGATCGCTTGAAATCCCAGTAGCTAGAATTTGTGACATACTGGTCCTCGAAGAAGTTAATTGCACAACTACATGGTACCTAGGTGGGAGACATTCCCTTAAAATTTCAGCATTCTAGCTTTTCTGGTTCCGGAGTTAACAGTTTTTCTGTTAAAAATTTACATGGGCCTGTACGTTAGAATCACGCATACCTGCGGGCTGAATTTGAAGCCTTTAAGTTTTACATGGATGGGGAAATCTCCTCGAAATATTAGCTTTCCAGGCTTTCTGGTTTCAAGGGGAGGGGATGACTTCCACGCCAAAACTTTCATTTGTTCATATCGAGGCTCAGACGTGTGTGAAGGTTGGCATCGCGGTCTTGGAGTGGCGCTTAGTCGAAAAACCCAATAGCAAAATTTTAACGCCGGAAATTGCTTGGTTGTTTAGTTGCAGTACCCGGACAAACGCACACACAACATACGCGTACACTTCAATACAAAAAAATACACACACGTACACATCATGGGTCGCTACAATACGCGTTTTTGTTGTGCAGCGCTATAGCACTGCTACAGCCAGCAACAACGCATATTTTCGAAAGGTCGTCTGTGCGTGTGTTCGAAAACGATACAGTGAACTTTGTCATCCACCTTCATCTCAGCAACAAGGAAAGCTGGGAGAGTGAAATTTTAGATGTGTCATCATCCCGTTTTAAGAGTTTCGCTCGTACGCGCATAAACTCCGTGTACGGACCTCGAAAAAATAAGCAAATTTTTTTGGCGGGAGACGATTTCGCGAACCATGCAAGGTACAAAGCTGAAACTTTGCAGGGATATCCTCTGTGCATGTGCGAGCCAAAAATTCAAACTTAGCTGTTGCGCATGCTTGTGCGGTGCGTGAGACCACATCAGAGTTTGGAACTTGGCCTGTCCGGGTATTTCAACTCGACAACCAAGCAAGCCCAGGCGCCAAAATTTTGCCAGCAGATTCCACGGCGAAGTGCCACCCTAGTATTGCGGTACCAACTTTTATATATATCTGGGCCCCGCATGCGCCCATGTGAAAGTTTTGGCAGGAAAGTCGCTAACTCGGGAACCAGAAAAGCTGAGAGGCTGAAATTTTTAGGTGATGTTTCTAGCCCACATGGGACTCAAAGATTTCAGATTTAGCCTTCACGCATAACCATTTCTTACGAGTAGCCCCGTGAAAATTTTTAGCGGAAAAATCGCTAGCTCAGGAACCAAAAAAGTTAAAAAGCTGAAATTCTGAGAGGATGCTCCCCGTTCACGCAGAACTCAAAAATTTCAAATTTTGTCCTTAGGCTTCCATGGTTCTCAGGTACGATCCCGTGAAGTTTTTGGCGGGGGCGTCTAACGACTTTAATGACATTAAAATTCCAGCTCCCTAGCTTCTCGGGGAATAGGAAGCTAGAGAGCTGGAGTTTTAACGGAATGCCCCTGTCCAGCTATCACGTAGTTACACAATTAACTTCCTGAACCAGTGTGTCATAAATTCTAGCTACTGTGAATCCATGCGGTCTTACTACGGCGCAAATGCAAAAACAAATGATCACACGGGCTCACCTGTTACACATCGCCAATGATTTTACACTTATCTTGTCCGCTCACTGGCTTAAATCAACGTAAATTTTGCATACAGGAAATGAATAATTTTCGTTTAACGGTTGTTCTTTGAAAATAAGCTGACTGTTCAGTGAGCAATTTTCCCGTCAAAATTCCTAAGGGTCCGAACGTGAGAACCACGCATACTTAAAGGCTGAATTTGAAATCTTTAAGTTGTACGTAGACAGAGGACACACCTTTAAAATTTCAGCCTTTCAGCTTTCTGGTTGCAGAGTTAGCAATTTTCCCCCGGAAACTTTCACGTGCTCGTACATAGAACCACCCGCCCCTAGGAGCTGAATTTGAAATCTTCAGCTCACATATGCACAGAGAATATCCCTGCAAAGTTTCAGCCCTCCATCTTTTCTAGTTCCCAAAGTAGCTTTTCGGCCAAAAAATTTGCATTTTTTGAGGCATCCATATGTGGGACAGAGACGTACGCGAATGATAACATTAAAACAAGAGGGTCGCCTTGGTAGTACGCGCACACTGTCAAAGTTTTAGCTTTCTAGCTTTTCTAGTTCTCGAGTTGAAAGTGAGAGACAAAAAGTGCTAACACATAGACGCACACATAAACAGCCTGTTGCCAATACGTGTTTTTATGCGTTTTTGCTGTGCAGCGCTACAGCAGCGCTATAGCGCTGCTACAGCCAGCAAAGACGCATATTGTCGAGAGGCTGTCTGTGTGTGTG